TTAGTGGTATCTTGATTTTATAAGCCTATTGATTGTAATCATCAAAAACTATTTATAAGTAAATAACAACTGTAATGTATTCATGCAGTGGATTCTTTTTGCTTGTATTTTTGTTTAGGTAGGTACTTAGGCATAGATAAAGAATCTTTTTGTAAATTCATCCTGATAGGTGCTGCTAATGTTACAAGTATCTTAACAAATTGCTACTACTTAAACCAATTTTAGCTTTGTAATAAAATTAAAAAATTGTTCTATAGATTAATTTATTCAAGTTTTCGATTATTGAAGTACTTTGGCATATTTCATAGGTTAACCCGTAACTTTACAAATTATCTGACGATGCCGTCTAACCGTAACATAAATAAAAATGGCGGTAAGTTGTCAATTATTTCAAAACTTGTTTGCTTTTTTTTCGAGTTCATAAAAATATAATTATTTTTGATATTTTCGTAACAAATATTTATAAAACAATTAGTAAAACATAATTTAATTATTTATTTTTTTATTTAAGCTTCATACACCTACTGTTTAAATCAACTTTCGTGTTCAATTCTTCTTTTTTTCAAATACAAAATGCGTTTTAGTGTTGAAATACTTACAGAAAGTAAAGCCGAATAAAACGATCTTGAAGTAAAAAAAAAACTATCTTTCCTAATTCACCCGCAGATAATTTTAATTTGATAAGGCAAATATTTTTAAAATTATCAACACAATTTAAATCAAAACATAATGTTAAATTAATTTTACGTACCTATTGTAATTAGAAATTACGATAATTCTCTCGTAAAAACACAATTTCGAAACTTTTTGACAACAATAGTGACACTAACCTTTAAAAAAGTTTTCGGCAAGATGGCGTCTCGACCAAATCACAGTGCCCAACTAAATACGATTTTTTTATCGAATTAATATCTTTTCTTTGATATCTAGTTGTTATCAGTAGGTAATATTGTAAACTAATCGTTCTTGATTAAATAGTGTCTGTAAATAACGTTACAAATCATTGATTTATTTATGATTCTGTTTGAATCTGCCATTTTAAATTCATTAGAATTTTCTTCTGAATGTAAAAAGCGGGAATTTTGTCGGTTTTTTAGTGATATCTTAAGTACATAGGTATTTTAATTAAAATGTAGAATTATTCAAGCGTACCTACGTTTATTAATTTGTGTACCTAAATATTGTGAATGAAAATTCGTATTCACAGATTTTTAAATTCTTTTATTTAACTCGTCGAGTACCGGTTTTGTAGACACAATTATAGAACAATGGGTTGCGGTCACCGGTGACCGCTTGGTGTTTGACAGTTTAATTACTAATAATATCCTGTCCAAATTCCTATAATAAAAATAATATTATTCATCATTTTTATCATAACTATATTCGTTCGAATAACTCAAGTCAACATTTTAAATAGAGAAAAAGCAATAACATAATTTGTGAAATTACAAAAAGAATCGCCCCCGGGTGGGCTTGAACCACCAACCTTTCGGTTAACAGCCGAACGCGCTAACCAATTGCGCCACGGAGGCTTGGAAATGGATGACGAAATTACAGACTACTACATATGGACATATCTATTTATTTATTTATTCATTTTCGTATAGGAATTATTTATTCTGTACTTATACTTATAGTGCATATTTTTGTAGACTAGGCAGTGAATCACATATTTTTATAAATATAATAAAATTTCCAGTGATCATCGTTTACATTTCTGTTTCCTAGGTCTTTTTTTTTTAAGGGGGGAAAATCATCGAATGACTGCTCCCGCCTGGGTGAGGCGGGAGGGAGTGTCAGACTCTTACTGACTAAAAACCACCCCGTTCCTTCTCCTGCACGTCGAGCCGGAGCCCCCGGTTACCCGTTAGGTTCCCGCGTTTCCTTGTTCTAGGTACACATATCATTTCAACCAGCTATTTCAACAGCACTAATTTTTATCACGCGTTGTTTTCGGTTAAATGGATAAGCAGAAGATATAGTACAGTATTTTTTTTTAAGGGGGGAAAATCATTGAATGACTGCTCCCGCCTGGGTGAGGCGGGAGGGAGTGTCAGACTCTTACTGACTAAAACCACCCCGTTCCTTCTCCTGCACGTCGAGCCGGAGCCCCGGTAACCTGTTAGGTTCTCCGCGACATATAATACAGTATAGTCGATTTTTCTTATAGAAAAGTGTCTAAATATCGACCTAATGATAATTTAATGATATTTTTTTTTTAATATTCTTAGTAACGAATTTATGGACATGAACTTACTACATCTTTTGTCATTGTATTTTCGAAATAATATCAAAATGATAAAGTTAATAATCAAATAAAGGAATTTGAGGAAAAGAGAAAGGTCGATATGCGAAATGCCTATTTAGCGAAATATGCCATATTTCGCTAAATAGGATATACAGGAATAGGTATACAAAATAAACACAAACGAATTAAAATCAATACATTTATTTTGAAAGAAATTATAAGCTAAACAATTACACTTAAAAATAATGACTATTTACTCTGACTTATAATATTTGCAGGCCGCGATTTGTAGTAACAAAATAACTTATTTACTGTAGTAATAACATAGCATCACGTCTTTTATCCCCGAAGGGGAAGGCAGAGGTGTACATTACGGCACTTAATGCCATTGTACAATGTAACACCCACATTTCACTATTTTATGTTATGAGTCCCATGTAACAGGGGCTGAGCCTATTGACATATACCGGGCACAATTCCAGGGTCCGTGCTACTACTGAGATTTTTTGAAAAAATCCAGTAGTACTTTGCCCGACCCGGGAATCGAACCCGAGACCCCTTACCCGGCAGTCGCAATTGCGACCACTCGGCCAACGAGCCAGTCTGTAACTTTTAGACAAAAAATGTTCAACTCTCCATGTTCATTTAAAAAACTGCCCGCCTCGTTGGTCGAGTGGTCGCAAGTGCGACTGCCGAGCAAGGAGTCTCGGGTTCGATTCCCGGCTCGGGCAAAGTATTACCGGGTTTATGAAATATTTCTCAGTAGTAGCACGGAGTCTAGAATCGTACCCGGTATATGGCAATAGGTCCACCCCCTATTACATGGGACTCTTAACATAAATAGTGAAAAGTGGGTGTTACATTATACAGTGGCATTAAGTGTCGTAATGTGCACCTCGGCCTACCCCTTCGGGGATAAAAAGTGATGTTATGTTATTTTAATAAAACTTTTCGTACACCTGTGTATTTAAGATTTATATGGAACCTGGAAGGGTGGCTCTATCTTTGACTTGTACAAATCTTATATCTTATACTATTATATATAAAGCGGAAGAGTTTGTTTTTTTGTTTGTTTGTTTGAACGCACTAATCTCCGTAACTATAAGTCTGATTTGAATAATTCTTTTTGTGTTGGATAGCGCATTTATCGAGGATGGCTATAGGTTATAAAACATCACGCTACGACCAATAGGAGCTGCGCAGAGCGTGTGAAACTGCGCGGAAGTAGCTAGTGAAATTATAAGTCAGAATAATTAAAAGTTAAATCTAATAATATCTATTATTACCATAAAATCAATTTTGGCATCACATTTTACCAATTATGAAATTAAAACCTTTAAGGTCGACTTACCCTGTAAACTTGTTATTGACAAAGTAAAATTTAACTTTAAAACATGCGAGAAATATAATGGCTTCCCAAAACTGTATACAGTTTTGAAATCAAACATTTTTTGAGATACATTTTGTTCGAGAGTATCCCTATCCATAAATTGGGTACTTTTTTATGGCATAAGCCGGTAAACGAGCAGATGGATCACCTGATGGTAAGCAATCGGCGTCGTCCATGGACACCTGGAACACCAGGGGCGTTACAAGTGCGTTGCCGGCCTTTTGGCGATAAGGAGTTTGAGGATCGTTGGGGATTCAGGGATTGGGGGATTGGGGAAGGGGAGGGTGCTTTCGGTAACCTCACTCACACGACGAAACACAACGCAATCGTTGCTTCACGTCGGTTTTCTGTGAGGCTGGAGCCGGCCCATACGTGCCGAGGCATGGCTCTCCTACACTTGGTACTCGCCAACTAGTCAAATTCAATAAGTACTTTATTCGAACTGTCAAAAACGACAGTTTTCTATGAATTTTGTACGAGATTGTGTATTGTGACGTCACGTTTTTTAGCGTCAAACAGCATACTTATTTCTTAAAAATTTGTTGGAAAAATACTAAAATTAAGTTGGTCATAAAATCAATTAATTAAAGTATGATTATTGTTTAATATTTTATTGTGTTGAACGATCGAAATAAATTTTTGTATTTTAGATTGAACATTTTTGTTTAAGGAAAGTACCCAATTACGTCACACGTGAAGGGGGAGGGAGGTATCATCGCGTGACATCATATTTAAAATATTATAATAATATGTGTTAAAACACGAACTTCAAACTATTAATTTACGAAAGCTTCAAAAGCCCAGTTGTACAGTCTCTTCTTTGTGCCTTTAGGCTTAATTCATTCTGTCTCCTGCAGTAATTCACCGAGGGAAGTGAAAACCATAGTTTTTCTTCTTCTCCTCTTATAATATCTTCTGATTCACTTCGTTGCGGGAACCAAGACAGTTACTCATGTCCCTGGGACGCGCCGGACTTCAGTGTTCTGGTGTTTTCATGGTTGTATCTACTGTAGATCCTGGCTTACAGGAGTTGCAGCGGTTTTGGGAGGTTGTGGCGGGCTTGTCCCATTAAATAAATAAAAAAAAAAGCTTCAAAAACTAATACCAACTATATCTGTCTGAATATAAGATACCGGTGGTTTACGACGCCCGCTTCTCATGCATGAGAGTGCGGGCTCGAAACCTACCAACGACAAGTTACCAATGTAACTTTTTCCGAGTTATATGTACTTTTTAAGATTATTCAGACACCACTGACAAACAGTGAAGGAAAACATCGTGAGGAAACCTGGGGTTATAACTTCTAATTATAAGTTTGAAATCGCCAACCCGCATTGAGCAAGCGTGGTGATTAATGCTCAGACCATCTCCGTGTGAGAAGAGGCTTTGCTCATTTATTATATTATGTTGATGTGATTACGATGAAGACATTAGGTTTAAATAAGACAGTTATTCCATCAACATCGGATCGTCCAGTTGTAGTTGCACCATCTGGTTGCCGTTCACCAAAACTCCGTCTCGCAGTAACAACTGAACGTTTAAATCTGATAATTCCTGCAAACAAAAAGAAATCTAATATATAATCTAATATATAAAACTAGCTTCTGCCAGCGACTTCGTACGCGCAATTCCATTTTGCCCCAGTTCCCGTTCGTGATTTTCGGTAAAAAGTAAAATAAACTATTCTATAAAAAGTATACTATGTCCGTCTCCTGGTTCTAAGCTACCTCCCTGCCAATTTTCATCTAAATCGATGTAGCCGTTCTTGAGTTATAAATAGTGTAACTAACACGACTTTCTTTTATATAAAGGGTCTTTCAAATAGAACGGGTCGATGTTAATAATATGTGGTGGCCATTTTGTTTTGGCGACATCTGTCAAGTCTGATTTTTCTTATCCAGCTGCCGATGCCAAATCACCATGGCAAGTTACACGGTTGAGCAGTATGTGCAAATGATAAAACTTTATTATCAAATTTTATTATTAACTTTATTGCAAACGTTGCGAGCATTGCGCCCATTTTACGGCAGAAGCGGTGATCCTTCAAAGTTTAGGTAAGCGCTACAGATCAATGATAAACAATTATTTTTGGCTTAAAAACAATATGGACGTGAACGACATGTGGTTCCAGCAAGATTGCGCTACTTGCCACACAGCGAACGACACAATCGACATTCGGCATGAACGGTTTGAAGGTAGGGTTATCTCTGGCAGAGGTGACGTGAATTGGCCACCAAGATCGTGTGATTTGACTCCGCTAGACTTTTTCTTGTGGGGTTTTCTGAAGTCGCAAGTCTATGCCAATAAGCCACATTCCACCGTTGCCCTGAAAGCCAACATAACGCAGGACATCGCTCAGATTCAGCCGGGTCTATGAAGCAGAGTCATGGAAAATTAGACCTCTCAGATTCGTGCCGCCATACGAAGCCGCGGCGGACATTTAGACGATGTCATATTCCATCCATAATGGCATAAATGGACCTTTCAAATAAAAAATAAAGGTTAATATATTACACACATCTTGTTTTATTCAATTTTAACATCGACCCGTCCTTGTTGAAAGACCCTTTATATAGATTCTCGTGTCACAGTTTTCGTTGCCATACTCCTCCGAAACGGCTTGGCGATTTTAATGAAATTTTTTGTGCTTATCCGGTATCTATGAGAATCGGCCAACATCTATTTTTCATCCCCCTAAATGTTAGGGGTAGTTCAACCCAATTTTTTTTTTAGACAAAATTTTTAATTTCTATTTTTTATGATACAACATACAAAAATACATACGATCCTTAATTTTCACCCTTCTACGAAATTATTTATATGGCAAAACAACGTTTGCCGGTTCAGCTAGTATTTTTATAAAATACTGCCTTTTTGTCTGTGGCTCCGCTCGCGTTATATTTAGATTCAAGTAAGTTAAGTAAGATTTTATCATAACTAAGGGCTCCAGTTGGGCTTGAAACACGTCGGGCGTCCACGTAAAATTTCGTAACCATGTTAAATAGTGGTATCTATTAAACAATTTCAGGGTTCAGTGACTTAAGAATCGCGAACGTACCTACCTGACAAAAAATTTTTTATATTTTGGTACTTTTGAAACGTCAATGAATATAAAATAAATAATAGTCTGTCAGTCAGTCCGCCAGTAAAGCTAGGCGCTCGTTAGAAGAGTAACGAATGGTGCTTCTTGTTCGTTCTTCTCCATTCGAATCTACATTTTTGAATGAGCACCTAGCTTCACTGACGGACTGACTGACAGACTATTATTTATTTTGTAATTAAAATAAATGCTTTGACTTTGACTCACCTCTCCGCTAACAATGGGGTAGGCAGTGTTCTCATGTGGCGCAGTTTCGCCTCGCTGCAGAATTTTCGGTCGCCGTGGGTTTTTGGCGATACCACGGCCACGGCGAGCTGGTTGAAATTCATCGACTGAAAATATTTATATTTTTTAAATGATCTTCATATTTTGAAAAGAAATGAAACTATTATAAATAAGATAACATAACAAAACGCCTTTTTATGCCGGAAGTGATAGACTACGACTGAGATTTATTTAGAAAACTCAGTAATTCTTTGCCCGACCCTGGAATCGAACCCGGGACCTCTTGCCCGGCAGGCCCAGCGAGCAGTAAGCTGTTTTTTTTTTCCTCAGCAGGAGGGGAAATCCTCATGGAGACTCACACCTCCCCACGAATAGAGAGGTGTGAGTACTGCCGGACTCTTACCGGCTAAAACCCTCCTGCTGTGCCGAGTTGCTCCTCTGACATGGTCAGAGACCTATTTTGTTTGAAATGCAGGTATTTGTGCCAAAATTTTAATTTTTTAATTGTACTTATATAAAACATATAATAAGTTTATACTAAAATATAATATATAAATATAATAATATTGTCGACGCTACTGTCATATATTATTCGAATAATGTCGAATATAGCAGTAAGCTGTTGGCGGGGCATGGTCATGTCGTGAGTAGTGGGGGCGCCGCTGTCGCCTCTGCCGGCGTCTGGAGCGGGCGGGCGGGACACTCACGCGGCATCCGATGGGTCGGTCGGCGCGACCAGGTCTCGTGGGAGGCCGAGCCCGTCGGGGGGGCGCCGGTGGTAGGGCGCCAGCTCCCGGAGGTGGTCGTGCCGCGACCGACCGGAGCGCTCCAAGAGTGTGGTCCTCAGGCGCTGCACGAATGCGTCGACGCTCTCTGCGCCGAGGTCTCGGGCGATTGTCGCGTTCCGTACGAAGCGCGGGGCTTGGACGATGGCTTCTTGTTGGTTTCGGACACGAGCGCGTACCATGCCGGGGCGGCGTAGGTGAGCCGTGTCCGAATGTAGGCCTTGTAGATGCCGAGCTTCGCACGGAGAGGTAGCGCCGAGTCGATCACCGGGCGCAGGAGGTGACGCGTTCATGGTCACGCCGAGGTATTTAACGCTCGGCGCCCACCGGACCTGCTCTCCCATGAGTGTCATGGGTGTCGGCTTCATGATCCCCACGGCGAGTGCTTGAGTCTTGGCCACGTTCACAGCCAGTCTCCACTTCTCCAGCCATTCAGGGAGTGCATCTATGGCGCGCTGTAGTTTAACTACTGCGTGCCTCGGGTTCATTGATGTCGTGTAGTAGGCGGCGTCGTCGGCGTACAGCGCTAGTTTGACGCCGCTCGCGACGGGGATGTCGTCCGAGTATACGCAGTAGCACACAGGTGAGATGCAGCTTCCCTGGGGCACGCCGGCACGGATATTTCGCTCGGTCGACAGAGTGCCTTCCACTGCCACTTGGAAGGTTCTGTCGTGCAGGAAGGTGGCCACGATCTTAACTAGTCGTCGAGGAGTAGTAGATGTGGCCAGCTTGCTGAGCAGGCCGGCGTGCCAGACGCGGTCGAACGCCTTCTCCATGTCGAGGAATACTGCCGCGGCGAGGCCTAATCGAAGCTGGCTTCCCAGCAGTTGTAGCCAAATGCCACTTAGCGCTTGTCTACATATAGAATAGAAAACCAAATTATATGGAATTGACGTAAATTTTGACAGTTGTCAGTGTCATCCCCATACATTTTGATTTCTACTCTCTCTGTAGACAAGCGCTAAGGTGGCGTTTGGCTAAAGGCTCTGAGAGACTACGGCATAATCGGTGTATGCCTGACCAGTCGTCGCGCACGTGCTCGATGGCGCGTTGCCAGGGCTCGGCCGCGTGGTTTGCCATGGCGGACTAAATCTTTGCTGCCAGAGCATTGAGCGCGTTCTTCATAGTCGGGCATCGGGTCCTCTGCCATTGCCTGCGGAGTCTCTTCTTCCTCTCGACCATGGCAAGTATGGCGGCTGTGGGGGTGATGGCCTCCTCGGTGTCGACACGTTTGCCACCTGGGACTCGGCTAGTGGGCGAAGTCGGCGACGAGTCGGTCGCCGTCGGCGGCTCGTCCGTCGGGCGGGGCAGTCGCTGGCCGAGTGCGACTGGCCGCGCCGCACGCACGCCGTGGGCCGGTGTGTAAACGCCGGTACTGTTGGCAGCGGTGGCACTGCGCGGGGTTTTCTTGCCTCAATTTTGATCCCGGGCATACAGAGTAACTCCGTCACTCCGTACTTCCGTAGTGAGTTGTACTATATTTCATTTTTTTTAGAGGGTACGTGTGCCATCAATTGCAGGAGAAGCGACGACCGCGCAGGTCGCGCTAAGGCGGCGCAGTGAACGGTGACAGGGTGGGGGGCGAGCGGAAGGGCGACGTGGTGAAGACGGCCTGCCGTTTGTCCGCCGGCTCCTTTGTAGGAGAGGAGAAGCTCCTGGTGCGATGTTGTCCGGGCCGCGGGAAAAATGGGCGGCACTTGAGGCCACAACGCTTAAAAGCGGCGCGTGTGGGTGCGGTCGGAGGTCCCTGTTGTAGCCTCTTAGGCGGTTGCGGACGTGGGGCCGAGGTGTGTTGCGGGCGCTCCGGTGGCCTGCTTGCGGGTGTCGCGGGGCGGGGGCGGGGGCGGGGGCGCGGGCAGTTATGTGATACAAATGAAAGTAAATACTACACAGCACAGTATGACAAAGGTACGCACGCATCCTGGCGGGCGTGGGTTTGATGCAGGCGACGTGAGTGCGCGGGACGGTACTCAGCGCCGACAGGGCGCGCGCTGTCGACGGTATCACACTCGATGTACCCTGGGAAGAAATCAGTTAAAATAATATTATTTTTCTATTTAAAATACGTTGCTCCTCACTAGGATTGTCTCCTGTGTCGTGTACGTTTACAAACATACAAGTTCACATACACATGACACCCAGACCCAGATCAACAATTTGTGGATCACACAAAGTGTTGTTCCGTGCGGGAATCGAACCCGCGACACGTTCCACGGCAGCCGGTTGCCCAGCCACCGCACCAACCGTGCAGTCAATCTGTGGATAAGAGTTGCTCCGTGCAGGAATCGAACCCGCTATACGTTGCACCAACCGTGCAATCGAACTAATCAAGAAAGATTCTTTGGATGTTCGAGAAAAGTTACTCGAGTGTCCATGGGCGACGCTGATTGCTTACCATCAGGTGATCCGTCAGCATCTATGGACACCCGCAACACCAGAGGAGTCACAGCTGCGTTGTGGCTTTTTAAAAAGGAATACGATCTTTTCTTGAAGTTTTGAAGGTTTTTTTTTTGCTATATCCTAAAGCATTGTCCCTTTTTGATAAAATTATGCCTGTCCTGCTTACCTTGGAAAAGGACATTTTAGTAATCTCTATAAGTTTGTCGTGAGGTACATTTTGTAATGCGAGCGTCTTCATGATCTCTTCTGAAGTCGGGTTTAGACCTTCCATCTGGAAAACATATTAAAAAACTACTGAAAACGCAAAATAACATTTTTGCAAGTGAATGCTGACTTGTAACTGCTGAACTGCCTCGTTGGCCGAGTGGTCGCATGTGTGTCTGCCGGACAAGGGGTCTCGGGTTCAATTTCCGGGTCGCGCAAAGTATGATATAACTGAAGTTTTTACAAATTCTCAGTAGTAGCACGGAGTTTGGAAATGTGCCCGGTATATGGCAATAGGTTCACCCCCTATTATATGGGACTCATAACATAAATAGTGAAAAGTGGGTGCTACATTGTACAGTGGCATTAAGCGGCGTAATGTGCACCACTGCCAACTCCTGTTATGTGCATGTTGACCGTGTTGCATGTAGACAAGGTTTGATTCCTGTACATAACATTATTTTTCAAGAGTGGTGCCATCACTTTTTGGGAAGACGATCATTAAACTGTCAAACACCAAGCGGTCACCGGTGACCGCAACCTATTGTTGTATAATTGTGTCTACAAAACCGGTACTCGACGAGTTAAGGAGGAAATACGGGGGTTGCAAAGCTTTCCGGTAGTTTTGAAAATTGGCAATTTTGTAGATTTTGATGTCCTTTTTCCGATTTCCATTTTGCATCCACGTACGTGTGCCGCTCGCGTCACCATCTTGGAAAAATGGCGGCCAAAATTTTTTTTCATGTATCTCTGATAATACGGCTCTGCTTACCTCAACAACAACAATAGTAGCGGGATGTTTGAGTCTGAGATGTGTCCTCAGATCGGATCGAATCCGGAACCGTTTGGGACACCGCCCACAGGCCCAGGCGCGGACGCCGGTGTGGATGAGGCGGTGGTTGCGCATCGCTGTCGATCTGGGGGTGGACAGAGATGTTCGTAGAGAAGCCAGCTTAGTAAACTAACCTAACATGAATTTAGACACATGCAAATCATTATCTTATTGTTATACTAGCTTCTGCTAGTGGCTTCGCCCGCGTTCTCGTGGAATAAAAGTGACCTATGTGTTGTTCCACACCATAGTCTACATTTACTTATTCAAAAATTCACCTCGATCCCTTTAGCCGTTTTGAGCTGAAAGAGTAACAAACATAAACACACACAAATGGGTGTTTCTTCAAAAAACTTTAACTTTTATTTAACAAATCATTATCTTCCCGCGTTGTTAAGCATCGCGGTAACTTATTAGCATCTGTATTTTATTGCATTGGGTGAGAGCAGTGACACGGCTCAATTTTTTGAAACTAAACTTTGTATTTTGATCAGCAGAATTGTTAACTGTGGCTTGAGGATAATCACGCCGTTAATTTTTTGGTTTTTTTTTTTGGAGAATCACCCAAATACATACAGACATACACACACAGACACACGATAACACGCACACATTTTATACACACGTACACATACACATTCACATAAGCACTCATAAACTTTCGCATGTATAATACTAGTAGGATGGCCGTACCTCCTGAAGGCGACCCCGCAGACGTCGCAGGGGAAGGGTCGCTCCCCCGTGTGCACCCGCAGGTGCTCGTTGCGCATCGACAGCGTGCGGAACGCGTGGCCGCACACCGGGCACGCGTGCGGCCGCCGCCCGCACCCGCCGCCCGCTCGCAACACACAGAAAAATAGAAATTCATCTGTTTGTCAATGCTTGTGAGAGAAGTAATCGTTGCGCCCGCGCCGCCCGCCCCGCCCGCGTGGTCTTCTCTGTACGACAATATAATTCATGTTTCATCGGCCTCCCTTAAATATTGACCTAACATAAATAAGGAGGGAAAATCATAGAATGACTGCTCCAGGGAGTGTCAGACTCTTACTGACTAAAAACCACCCCGTTCCTACTCTAGCACTTCGAGCCGGAGCCCCGGTTCTCCGCGGCGACCCGAGTGAATAAGTTGCTTATGGGACGACGTGCCATCGTAGACCGCCTCATCGCTTACCACCAGGCGGTCGGCCCATTACACCCAGACTCGGAACAACAATCTGTAAATCACACAAAGAGTTGCTCTGTGCGGGAATCGAACCCGCGACACGTGGCGCAATAGCTATTCGCCCAGTCAATGCGTCCACCGTTCGTCAACAATTTATTTTTACACTTAGCGACACATTTAGTGGCTCATTTACCTCTATATAGCTACGAAGCTAGTAAAGCTTCTGCCCGCGACTTCGTACGCGCAATCCCGTTTTCTCCCGTTCCCGTAGGATTTTCAGGATTTTTTTTCTGTCTTAAGAACCTTCTCCTAATAATAACATTTTAAGTGTGGGAGAGCCATGCTTCGGCACGAATTGGCCGGCTCGACCGGAGTGATACCACGGCCGAGGAGAAAACCGACGTGAAGCAACGCTTGCGTTGTGTTTCGTCGTGTAAGTGAAGTTAACAGAGGCCCAATTACACTCCCTTTCCCAATCTCCCCAATCCCTGAATCCCCAACGATCCTCAAACTCCTAATCCCCAAAAGGCCGGTGACGCACTTGTAACGCCTCTAGTGTTCCAGGTGTCCATGAGCGACGCCGATTGCTTACCATCAGGTGATCCGTCTGCTCGTTTACGTATGCCATAAAAACAAAACAAATACAATAAAAAAAAATTGTGAAATCATTCCAGGCATTGACGCGGGATGCCGTGACCAAGGGAAAAAGGGATTCATTTTTATATATATAGAAGATAAAAGATGTGTCAATAATTACAACTTACTTGACGTGTTTATGGAGATCAGCAGCATGAGTGAAGGTAGCATGGCAGCGGGTACACGCGCCGCCTCCAGAGTTCGATTCCTCGTTGCTGTAAGGACCTGGAAATATATTATTACCATATACATAAGTAGAGATGCAGAGGCCGGGGCTCCGGCTCGACGTGCAGGAGAAGGAACGGGGTGGTTTTTAGTCAGTAAGAGTCTGACACTCCCTTCCGCTTCACGCAGGCGGGAGCAGTCATTCGATGATTATCCCACTTAAAAAAAAAGTCATTCAGTGCTTCATTGGCCGAGTGGTCGCAAGTGCGACTGCCTAATCCGTAAGTTTTATTGATTGTTTAATTTGTTTTCTTTTTTGTTTTTCTTCTAATTTATTTTATTGTGTTTGTTAATATACCACCCATTCCCAGATTCTTTTCAAGAATTCCATCCAAAGGTTGTCTGGAAGAAATCGCCGCGTGTGATAAGACCGCCCATTGTATTCAAATTACTATTGCAATGTTAACAATTTTTATTTTCTGTGAGTGCAATGAATTTTTGAAATTTGCTCAGCAGTGGGCATTTATAGGCTGTTGATGATTCAACAGCCTATAAATGCCCACTGCTGAGCAAAGCCTCTTCTCACACGGACAAGGTTAGAGCATTATTCACCACGCTTGCTCAATGCTGGTTGGCGATTTCAAACTTATAATTAGAAATTATAAGTCCAGGTTTCCTCACGATGTTTTCCTTCACCGTTTGTCAGTGATGTCTAAATAATCTTAGAAAGTACATATAACTCGGAAAAAGTCACATTGGTACTTGCCGTTGGTAGGTTTCGAACCCGCACCCTCATGCATGAGAAGTGGGCGTCTTACACCTCCGGGCCACCACGACATTTATTTTATACAATAAAGTATTTAATAAATAAATAAGGGTGTGAGCCTATTGCCATATACCGGGCACAATTCCAGGCTCCATTATTTTTTTTTTTTTTTAAGGTGTAAATATTTTAGTTTTAAATTATTTTTTTTATATTTTAAGTTGTATATATTAATTTTTATCTTGTATTGTATATATTTAATTTAGTAACAGTTATTATTAATATTACCTTAAGCTAGAACATGTCAGTTATTTTAAGCTATATATTATTTCGGGTAAATAAAATAAATAAATAAATACCAGTTTTACTGTTGGCTCGTATCGCTCCATCGCTGTGTTCCTTCTTCCTGTGTTTATACAACGCAGTCTTATTTGGTAGAACTTCGCTGCAGTCTCGGCAGGGTATCCTGGAAAACGAATTAATATAACTTTACGCTGTTATTACCTAGGCGGCTATACAGATGGGTCTTGTGTAACTATTTCGGGTGCCTATACTAAGCCTTATCGAACGCCAAATAATCTAATTTTAAATGATTGAACACTTAATAAAACTATAAAAATATCTAAATTTCCGAGCACAATTCTAGACTCCGGGCTACTACTGAGATTTTTTTTTAAAAGCCAGTAATACTTTGCGCGGTTCGGGATTCGAACCCGAGACCCCATGCTTAGCAGTCGCACTTGCGACCACTCGGCCAACGAGGCAGTCAAAATACATAACATGACATAATATCACGCCTTTTATCCCCGAAGAGGTAGGCAGAGGTGCACATTATGCCACTGTACAATGTAACACCCCCTTTTCACTATTTATGTTATGAGTCCCATGTAATAGGAGGTGAGCCTATTGCCATATACCGGGCACAATTCCAGACTCCGTGTTACCACGGAGAATTAAAAAAAAAAACCAGTAACACTTTGCCCGACCCGGGAATCGAACCCGAGAACCCTTGCTTAGCAGTCGCACTTGCGACCACTCGGCCAACGAGGCAGTCAATATATTGGTATGAATGAAAAATGAATAAGGGGTACCTGTAATCATCCCTGCTGATCTTGCTGGTGGCTCCAGCATCGTCAGGTCCAGTCTTACCGTGGATCTTCTTACGGTGGTACGCTAGACTCCAACTGGGTAATAATAATAATTATATTAGACACGATATTAGCTCTAGTACCTTATAAGCTAAATCTATAACAACATCACGCCTTTTATCCCCGAAAGGGTAGCCAGAGGTATACATTATGCCACTGTACAATGTAACACCCACTTTTCACTATTTATGTTACGAGTCCCATGTAATAGGGGGTGACCATATTACCATATACCGGGCACATTTCCAGACTCCGTGCTTCTACTGAGATTTTTCAGAGCCGCGGACTCACTCGCGCCTTCGTGTTCTGGCCACGGTATTAAGCTGAGCTCCAAGCTTTTGTGCTGCGACGCACCATAGGCTTTTTTGTGCGTCGTGACGAAATAAATAGTTTATCTTTCTTTAATATAGAAGAAATAATCTTTAAATTGGCTTACCTGTTTTTTTTTTTATAATATTACTAGCGACCCGCCCCGGCTTCGCACGGGTGCAATATGCATGTATTATACATACAAACCTTCCTTAAGAATCACTCTATCTATTAAAAAAAACCGCATCAAAATCCGTTGCGTAGTTTTAAAGATCTAAGCATACATACGGACATACAGCGAAAGCGACTTTGTTTTATACTATGTATTGATAGATTATTTCTCCACGGACTCTAGGTCCGTGCCCTTGTCATACAGTTTTTTGGCTTACCTGTTAGGGAAGGTCAATTCGCACTGGTTACATTTATATAAAAAGTTTTCGTTCGCATGTTTCATACGCCGGTGTACTTGAAGGTATGTCCAGTGTAAGTAGGAACGCCCGCAATCCTGGTTGTAATCGGAAATAATTATAATTAATATTATCATTAAAAGGGCGGTAGACAGAGATATAGTTATAGCAAATTGGATACTTATATAATAATAAGACTTTATTGCTGAACTAAACTAAAATAACAAAAGTAATAATTAAACTAACTTATAAACTAACACATCAGTTTCGGTTTAGTGATCAGCGTGTCCTGTGACACACAGGCCTCTTCCAGCTGTTTCCACACTTCCCTGTCTCTGGCTTTCCTTGGCCAGGTATTCTCAGCGACCTTTTTTATGTCGTCCATCCATCTTTTTACCTGTCTGCCTCTCTTTCGTTTACCATCTCGTGGTTTTTGCAATTGGATAGTTGCAAACTAGTAAAATTCAATACTTTATTCCAGTCTTTCCCAAAGTGGGCGATAACGCCCCCTTGTGGGCGCTGCAGGTCTCAAGGGGGGCGATAAGAGACCCAGAAATAAAAATGTTACCTACTGCGCTCAGGTTTCAAGTTGCGGGTTATAGTAAAACTTTCGTTTAGAATTCTCCGTTAATGTACATAATATACCTACATATAAAGGTCAAAATAATTAATTTATTTAATTTGAAGTTATAGTGGTTTTTAAATAGGTGAACAAATGGGGGCGCTAATAAAATATTTATTCTCAAAACGGGCAGTAGACAAAATAAGTTTGGGAACCACTGCTTTATTCGAATTGTCAAAACGACAGTTTTCTATGATTTTTGTACGAGATTGTGTATTGTGACGTCACGTCTTATTAGGGTCAAGTCGATGACTTCGGCCGTTTTGATTTGACTGAGTAACAAACATACTAGCTCATAAGCTTTCGCATTTATTAACCGACTTCAAAAAAAGAAGGAGGTTTAACCTGTATGTATGTTTGTGCGCGATTATCTCGCGATTGGTTCAACCGATTACGATGCGGTTTTTAGAAAAGTGTTTGTTACATCTAGGAGAAGGTTTTAGTATAATAATAAACCGATCTCACAAAAGGGGGTTTATGAAGGGCAGTAATCATAATTGTAATGAGCCATTCTAAAGGTCAGTAGCAACGCGACAGCCGCCGCGTCGCGGGTCGCGGAATATTACTCATGAATATGAGCCTCTAACATGGCTTGAAACTAGTCGATTTAATCGTCAAACAGTTTCGTAATTACGCCGAAAATTTTATTATTAATTAATTTAGTATGTCTCACGAGAGTTATAATATAACTTGCAAACCCGGCGAACTCCGTTTCGCCACCAGATGGCTTCGTTTTATGTAACATTTCGTTTGGTGATCAGTGAATTTTCTTTGCTATAAACCTCACGGAGCCCGAGACCTTTCCAACGAATGCAAAACCGTGGAAATCAGTTCGTGCGTTCTGGAGATAACTCCAGAACGCACGAACTGATTCCCGCCGCTATAAAGCGGCGGGAAGGAAAACCCGACTTACTTTCAGATATTAGATGATCTGTCGTCGGCGGTATATTCGAAACGATACGACCTTCAAACCTTCAAGAAAAGAGCGTATTCCCTTTTGAAAGGCCGGCAACGCACCTGTGACTCCTCTGGTGTTGTGGGTGTCCATGGTCGGCGCTGATCACTTACCATCAGGGTGCTCTTGAAACCAATCTCAGTGTCAATGCAATTTCAATCCAATAAAATCTCAATAATTAGTCAATGTCAACACTATACAACCACTATCGTAGGTGTTAAGGTAGCATTCAGGGTACGGAATATAAAGTCAAACTCAATACTATTTAGTTCATTCAATATCCACGCAATACGGATGCAATGGGCGCTAGTGTTGCAACTCAAGAGTACGGAATTTCACAATACCAATGTCGATCGATCGAAATTGGATTCAAGAGTAAGCCCCCAGGTACGTCTGCTCGTTTGCCTCCTATTCCATAAAAAATGTTAAGAATTATAATATTAATAAGATATAATACAATACTGACCTCACACAAGAAATGTTTGACAACTGGAAAGTCCCCGTATCCGAGTATACCAGTGGCGGACCTGTTGGCTCCGTCAGTGGCAGGCAGGCCGTCAGTCTTCTTGGCGTCCGCCAGGGAGCGCTTGTAGAAACCATGCGTCGTTTTGTGGGTCGTGCATCTGTAATCAAATTATACTTAAATAAATAAATACTTATTATTATAAATAACGACCAGTACCAAATTAAATAAACAAGTAATGATGTGCAGACGTCTGATAGAGGATGATGGAACAATAAGATGATAATAAAATAACAGCCTCCCCCCTTTTATCAATCTCTCCAATCCCTGATTCCCTAACACTCCTAATTCCTAATCCTCAAAAGGTTGGTAACGCACTTGTCCATGGGCGACGCCGATTGCTTACCATCAGGTCATCCGTCTGCTCCTTTACCGGCTTATCGCAAAAAAGGCATATTTTCTAATCATTAGTAAATAGCTACAATTGGGTAGGGAGGGTATGAAAATTAAAAATGTAATTAGTCCGTCAGTTAGTGTCGCCGCACACGAGCCACTCGCTACAGCCACAAACGCCGCCACTAGAAGCTAGAAGCGGCTACAAAGGTAGCTGAAGCGCGCGACAGCCACTTGTGGCCGGTGGTCGACACTTGCGGTCGGTGGCTGCTTGTTGTTGTACTTTTTTTAACCTTTTCGTGCAGTATCATAATGGACTCTGATGAAGAAGGTTTAATTGCGCTACTTTTGATAAAAAGACGTCGGCGTAGAAGACGAAACCGTAGTTATTGGATACATCCAATTTTAACGAATGTAAACAAATGCAACGAACATTTCGATAATCTTCTAAACCATCCTAAAAAGTTTTTCAAACATTTTCGTTTAAGCATAGGTACGTTTTGGGAACTACATGCTCTATTATATGCTGGATTAAAGCACCACGATACCAACATGCGGAAAAGCATCACACCTGCGGAAAGACTAGCTATCACATTAAGGTAAGTGGAAATAATCACTAGCATAAAACTCCACAGAACACTATGATAAAATAATCTATACTTTATTTATAATAGAAAAAACAATGCACATTGATTATTATAATCAATGTGCTAGTTAACAAATAAAACACGTAGGTGTTTGTATTTAGTTATTATATCTTTATTATAATTTGGTATCACTCGTCATCATCACGGAACATGTTTTCGATAACAGAACTGTTGTCCATAGACTGGTCAGAATAATATGAATGAGTTGGAGACGGCTGAATTATAGGTGAAGACGGGATAGATGTAGAAGCGTTTTGTGTAGAGTATGACATGTCAAGCATAGACTTGTCGGAATAATGTGAATGAAGTGGAGAAGGCTGAACAGATGTAGAAGCTTTTTGTGTCGAGTGTATGTTGGCATTTCCTGAAGAATAACCATAATATTGTGCCGAATAGGTTTCATAATTTTGATTATGCGTGTACTTTCTAATTAACTGTAATATTTCTGATTGAAAATCAAGTTTACAATTATCGTCAATTTTTTTTACATGTGGAAGCAACGACATCAGAAATTGCTTATCGGGGTCATTTTGGTCGCTTATTTGATCATGTTTACGTTTTAAATTTTCCGAAAGTGTTCTGAGAATTTCATCTTCTGATTTTTCGGCCCTTTTTAAATTAATGTTTCTGTTTATTTTCGGGCGAGATGTTTCCGCATCATCAGTTGCATTAGTAACATCGGTAGGCGGCCTCACTTCTTTTAAGGAATTCAAGAACGATAGATGATTGAAATAAATGTACTGTTTACTGCTTGTTGCTGCCGAACCACTCGCAACGTTCTTGTTTTTTGCATTTTCTCTATTAAAACTGTCACGAAGACTCTTCCACTTCCTCTGTAATTTAGTTACTGTAACAACAAAAAATATAATTTTAATTTATTTTTTAAAAATATAATTTGTTTCAGGTATCTAGGAACTGGATGCTCGTTTGAGGATTTTGAACTCTCTTACCACCGTGGGGCCTCTACAGCAAGGAAAATAGTACAAGAAACATGTCAACTAATTTGGAACTATTTAAAATCCGTTTGTATTCCAGAACCGACCCAAGACATGTGGAAAGAAATTGCCAGCGGATTTCTTCAAAATACAAATTTTCCTAATTGTTTAGGCGCCATAGATTGGAAACATATAAGAATTATTCATCCATTCGATACCGGCTCCTTGTACTTTAACTATAAAAAAATTTTTTCAATAGCACTTCTAGCAAGTTGCGACTCGAATTTACTTTTTACGTTCGTGGATGTTGGGGCATACGGTAAAGCATCCGATTCTACAATATTTAGAGAAAGTGAACTGTGTAACAAAATACACAGAAAGACATTAAATATCCCCTCACTACGACAACCATTGAACTACACATTTGTTGGTGATGAAGCATTTGGCCTCAGTGAAAATATGATGAGGCCATATGCTGGAAAATATTTGGACTTAGACAAAAAAGTTTTCAATTATAGGTTAAGCCGTGCCAGACGTTGCATTGAGTGTACCTTCGGCGTACTAGCAAACAAATGGAGAATATTACATCGCCCATTAAACACTTCTGTTCATTTCTCAGAAGACATTGTGAAAGCTTGTTGCATTTTGCACAACTTTATTCGCAAAAGGGATGGCTTCAATTTTCGGCATACTTTGAAAATAGTGGGACTCGAAAATATACAAAATATAGGCTGGCCAGTAACACGAGCGTCTACGGCAAGAGATACGTTAAAAGATTATTTTATGAATGAAGGAGCAATACCGTGGCAAGAAAATAGAATATAAATATATGGTTTTATATTATTTTATTAAACTTACCTTCAATGTTCTTTTCTTTGGCAGTTTTATTCGAAAAATCTCCCACAAACAATTCGCAGATTTCTTCCCAGGCCTCCACTGCTCTGCACTGCTTTTCTCCTCTATTACTATAACTATCACTTTTTGAATCCCAAATCGCAGGACGGGATTGTATCTCTGATATAAATAATTCTATATCCATATTTATCTACCTATATGAACTACAGACTACGTGCGTGCGTTACCGTCGATTTACACAGGTTAACTGAGGCAAGGGAGAGAGGGGCGCGGAATCACGCGAGTGGCGTGTGACGGCTTTTTGTGTCGGCGTTTAGTGGCCGGTGCGAGCCACAAGATGCAAGCTGCGACGATTTGAAGCGTGTGGCCGCCACCGGCGCAACCGTGTGCGGCGAGTCCATATAAAATGTATGAAAAATACAGGAAATATGCCAGTGGCGGCGTTTTGTGGTTGTGGCCGGTGGCCCGTGTGCCATTTTAACATATTTTTTTTTATTTTTTCATAGAGGAAATCAATACTTAGATGAAACATAATATCATATACACATGACACCCAGACCCGGAACAACAATTTGTGGATTACACAAAGAGTTGCTCCTTGCGGGAATCGAACACGCGACACGTAGCGCGACAGCCAGTTGCCTAACCACCGTGAGTTCAAAAATTACTTGGCCGCTATACAATTCATCGTATGTGGCTGTAATTTATACGTGAAATTCATATTTGTAAACACACATACGACACAAAAAGCAAGCCCACAAAACGAAAACAATTAAATAATTTTGTAAAAATCATTAGAATATATGTCTTCGTTGTGTCAGATAATAATCGAACCAGCAGCTGTAGCCAAATGCCATTTAGCGAATCCTAATCAAATTCCTAATCCAGAAGGCCGGTAACGCACTTGTAGCGCCTCTGGTGTTCCAGGTGTCCATGGACGGTTTGACCGATTGCTTACCATCAGGTGATCCGTCCGCTCGTTTACCGGCTTATGCCATAAAAAAAATAAAACCAAATTACATGGAATTGACATAAATTTTGACACTTGTCAGTGTCATCCCCATACATTTTGATTTCTACTCTCTCGGTAGACAAGCGCTAAAGTGGTGTTTGGCTAAAGGCACTAAATCTGTTACCTGGAGTAAGTAGCGAAGCTGACTTTGCATATGTGGCAAGTGAACGGATTCTTCACGCCCTTGTGTATAGCGCGATGCGAGTTCAGACCGCTCTCTAGGTAAAAGACACTGGAAGAATAGAGATTTGTTATAAAAATCAAATTGTTCGTAATTCAAGTTGTTTTTCGTTTTAATTCGTAATTCAAGGTGTTTTATTACGCTAAATTGTACGCGCTTCGTTAGTCTAAAGTAGGTTGCCGCGATGTAGGTTGATGATGGTGCCAGTAATCATGATGATTGTAAAACCAGTAGTGATGATGACAAATGCTGGCAGAAACTACAGTAATACAATTTTACTTACTCCTCGCAATATTCGCAGCGGAATGCCTTCTCAATCTCAACAACTCGTATGAGGGCGCGCGCCTCGTCCGCCAACTGAGACAGGAGTGGGGCCCCCACCTCGTGGGATACCTCGCGTTTTATAGGTTTCGACAGTTTTGGGGATTCTAGGAAAGATATTAAGATATTCAATAATTAATAACTAATCTATTGGTGCGCGGAGGTTCAAGACGCCTACTTCTCATGCATGAGACTGCGAGTTCAAAAACTACTAACGACAAGTACCAATGTAACTTTTTCCAAGTTAGAATCTTTTTCTAAGATTATTTAGACACCACTGACAGACGGTGAAGGAAAACATCGTGAGGAAACCTGGGCTTATAATTTCTAATTATAAGTTTGTAATCGCCAACCCGCATTGAGCAAGCGTGGTGATTGATGCTCAAACCTTCTCCATGTGAGAGTCTTTGGTCAGCAGTATAGGCTGTTGATGTTGTTGTTGTAGGCTGTTATATTGGATTTTGGAGCATGAAGTTAACTTCAGAATCAAAGACTTAAGTGTTTGATTTCTGTTCAAGGGTTACTGTACACCCACGGAGGTGCGACGAACGAAGATACTGAACCCCATTGTGTGTACTACAAAAAAAAGCGATGATTTTTCTTCAAAGTCTACTTACCCACAATCTGCACAGTATGTCTGACTAGTCCACTGGTGGGCGACAGTTGTACTGTGACCTCTTCAGCTTCCTCCTTCAGCTCGTTGGCGAAAGCTTCTATACATTCCGTCGATTTTGAGGCGTGCTCCTAGTAAAAGAAATAGGCAGAATTTATGGAATATAATTCTCTTCGTGCTGTTTATTCTGCGAGGGGTAGCAGAGGCGGACTATAGCGCCCTAGTGAAGTACCTCATGATTGCTTCGAATTTTTTTTCGGCTCCGCCGACATTTAATCGACAGTTGGGCACGTGCATCTCGCGGCGCCTCTCTGTAACTTGGCGCCCTGGCGCTTGCTTAATTTGCCTTTGAGATAAAACGACAGTAAGAGGCAAGCACGGTTTTAAAAAAATCTAATCTAGGCGGGGCGCCAGCTCCTCCTGTAGTTACCTGTGCAGTAGTAAGGTCCCTGAAGGCCCGCCCGCAGACTGCACAGACGCGCACGAGGCGGGGCGCCAGCTCCTCCTGTACTTACCTGTGCAGTAGTAAGGTCCCGGAAGGCCCGCGCACAGACTGCACAGACGCGCACGAGGCGGGGCGCCAGCTCCTCCTGTACTTACCTGTGCAGTAGTAAGGTCCCGGAAGGCCCGCGCACAGACTGCACAGACGCGCACGAGGCGGGGCGCCAGCTCCTCCTGTACTTACCTGTGCAGTAGTAAGGTCCCGGAAGGCCCGCGCACAGACTGCACAGACGCGCACGAGGCGGGGCGCCAGCTCCTCCTGTACCTACCTGTGCAGTAGTAAGGTCCCTGAAGGCCCGCGCGCAGACTGCACAGACGCGCACGAGGCGGGGCGCCAGCTCCTCCTGTACCTACCTGTGCAGTAGTAAGGTCCCTGAAGGCCCGCGCGCAGACTGCACAGACGCGCACGAGGCGGGGCGCCAGCTCCTCCTGTACCTACCTGTGCAGTAGTAAGGTCCCGGAAGGCCCGCGCACAGACTGCACAGACGCGCACGAGGCGGGGCGCCAGCTCCTCCTGTACTTACCTGTGCAGTAGTAAGGTCCCGGAAGGCCCGCGCACAGACTGCACAGACGCGCACGAGGCGGGGCGCCAGCTCCTCCTGTACCTACCTGTGCAGTAGTAAGGTCCCTGAAGGCCCGCGCGCAGACTGCACAGACGCGCACGAGGCGGGGCGCCAGCTCCTCCTGTACCTACCTGTGCAGTAGTAAGGTCCCTGAAGGCCCGCGCGCAGACTGCACAGACGCGCACGAGGCGGGGCGCCAGCTCCTCCTGTACCTACCTGTGCAGTAGTAAGGTCCCTGAAGGCCCGCGCGCAGACTGCACAGACGCGCACGAGGCGGGGCGCCAGCTCCTCTTCGTGCGCGCGCACGTGCATGCGGAGCCGGGACCGACGGGTCAGTTGCTTCAGGCAGATGTGGCATTGGAAGGGTTTTATCTGGTGGTAAACAGTACTTTTTTTTATTTTTGGTGTAGAATTAAATATTATGTGTAAGTAACATGGAAGAAACCATAAAACCATCGGAAGATAATGAAATAAATAAATACAGTCAACGAAAAAAATATCCTAGGCCAAGTAGATTGACAGAATGAGAAAGTAAAAGCAAAAGGTAAACCTGTAAATGCGTGACTCCATGTTCATCCAACGTCTGTTTGTCGAGGAACCGCTTGTCACACGTCACACACACGTAGCGCCGTGTGTCTGTGTGTGTACGACTGTGTTTCGTTAGAGTTGCCCTGGGTAGGAAATATTATAATAGCAAAATAATTTTCATAATTAATTTCTTTTCTCATTCTAAATTACTTTATTTCGGTAAGCGTTTCCCAATATCACGGGCGCCATCAAAACTAAATGTGTCACAAATGCGATGCCGACATTTTTTTAAAAAGGATTATCTTCTGTTCCTGATGACAGTATTGGACCAGATTCTATTATGAAGTAGTAATGTTAAAAGTGTGGGAGAGCCATGCTTCGGCACGAATGTGCCGGCTCGACCGGAGTGGTACCACGGCCGAACAGAAAACCGACGTGAACCAACGCTTGCGTTGTGTTTCGTCGTGTGAGTGAGGTTACCGGTTACCCAATTACCCTCCCCTTCCCCAATCTCCCCAATCTCTGAATCCCCAACGATCCTCAAACTCCTAATCCCCAAAAGGCCGGTAACACACTTATAACGCCTCTGGTGTTCCAGGTGTCCATGGGCGACGCCGATTGCTTACCATCAGGTGATCCGTCCGCTCGTTTACCGGCTTATGCCATAAAAAAAATACGAGTTACTCACGAAAATATACCGAGAAAAGTTCTTCTAGTTTCGAGCCACAGAGGGACTTTGCAGCAGTAGGCTGTGCGACATCGACGCAACCGCGCACGCTGCTCATGACGAGGAGCTTCTCTCAGTATATTTACGTAACTCGTCACTTTTATTTAATAAATAAAAATATAACAAATAAACAGAAAAGAGTAGACACAGAGAAAAATAACAGATATAGACATATTATTATATTAAATAGACATATTATTCTTTGCTAGTCTGTAGTTCCTGAAGGATTTGTATAACCTGGTTGTCTTCAAGGCCCGAGTGAATAGGTTGCTTATGGGTCAACGTGCTCCATCGTAGACCGCATCATCGCTTACCATCAGGCGAGATAGTGGTCAAGCTATCAAATATATAAAAAAAATAGAGAACTGACTATAAAATAAAATAACATACCTCAGAAAGAAAGTTTTTCCGCACCCTTCCACTGGACATTGCCACCGCTTCTGCTTATCATGTTGGAAGTGTACGTGGTCGAAGAGTTCTGTCTCCGTGGCGAAGGTGGCGCCCTCACACTCCGCGCATAGGTAGCGCCCGTCCGACCGGACCGGCCGGGCTGTGTCGTGGAATTGCCTGGGACGGGGGTGGAATATGTGAAAGAGGAGTTGAAAAAGGGGTCTTTTTTTAAGGGGGGGAAATCATCGAATGACTGCTCCTGTCTGGGAGGGAGTGTCAGACTCTTACTGACTAAAAACCACTCCGTTCCTTTTCCTGCACGTCGAGCCGGAGCCCCGGCTACCCGTTAGGTTCTCCGCGACTCCGAATCGGCATCGGGCCTGTTGGGTCCCATCTGTGGTGTTGGGCCCCATCTGTGAAGGCCTGATATGGGCACGGACTTGAGTCCGTGGAGAATTAAATTTTTATTAAATATTTTTTTTATAAACCACGTTTAAAAAGCAGACTTCAACCACCTCTCTTTTGAAGTCGGATAATTAACACACTTTTTTGAAAACCGCATCGAAATTGGTTCATCCAATCGTGAGATAATCGGGCACACAAACATACATACATACATACAATATACATAAATAGAAGTGGAACCTCCTTTAAAGTTGGGTAAAAAACTAATAACAAACTAAAGTAAAAAATAAAAAGCAAAAAATAACTATTATTATTAGTACTGATAGGTTATTCACTCATAGGTTAGAAGTCGGCGCCATAAGTTCTATACAAAATTATTCATTAGATCCAGCAGCTGTAGCCAAATGACATTTAGCGCTTTTCGACTTGTAGAGTAGAAAACCAAATTATATGGAATTGACGTAAATTTTGATGACATTTAGTTTTCTACTCTCTCTGTAGACAAGCGCTAAACTGGCGTTTAGCTAAAGGCACTGAATAGATACCTTATTTACAATTTTGTGCCCATTAAGTTGTATGTTTTTATAATAATTATCGTGAGACATACGGAATTAACTAAAATCACGGGTTACTCACGTGAATATACTGAGAAAAGCTCTACTACCGCGACCGCGCACGCTGCTCATGAGGAAGAACCCCTCTGTGGTTCGAAACTTAGAGCTTTTATGAGTATATTCACGTGAGTAACCCGCAATTGTAGTTAATTAAGTTGTATGATTATGAGCCGAAGGGGTAGGCAGAGGTGCACATTATGGCACTTAATGCCACTGTACAAT